AACCTTTTCTTCTGTCTACCATCCTCTGAATTTATTTTTCTTAGCAGTAAATTTGTGCTAATTATTAAAAAATTCTTTTTTTTTTTTTGGCCGGATACTTTGTTCAGGTCAAAACTGAGCTGGTAAAGCGCAAAACCAAATTTTCCATCTTCTTTCTCCCTTTTCCCCCTTTCCCCTCCTTTCAACTTTTGCCTTCTCCATTGTTTGAAGTAACCTTCGACATATGTTTCTGTGTGTAGAACAGTTCTGATACAGAATTGCTAATCATTTAAAACTTTTTGAACTTTATTTACTGTAACTTTTCATTCTATTCCTCCAGTTATCATTCACGGCAATTAACGGCACTTTAAATTTTTGTTCTTTTGAATAAACCAACTTACATCAGTTTTTTTTGAGCTCTTTTTCTAGTCCTTTTTCTTTTTTCCCAAAGAATACAATTTAGGATAATTCTATATGGATCTTCGTTTTTATCGTTTATAGACTACAAGGATTCAAGATGTCTTCGCTATGGTTTTTGAAAGTCAAATTCTGCTATCAATATATTTTACTGCTGACTTGGGTTTTTCCATGCCTTTCATTAGAAGTTGGCCTATTTGCCTCATGTGGATGCCATAGTCACGACCTTATGATGAAAAATGTTGGCGATCATTTTAAAGGTTTATTCGGTCTACTTTATTTGTTATCATAATGTACTTTAAGCAACCACGTCCATTGCAAAACTTTCTAACCAAACTGTTAGTCTCTGCTGTACACAAGAACTTAACTACGAAAAGCAGATGTTTAGATTAAAAGTTCTCCTTAAGTTTTGGAAAGTAATGTGTGCAGTGTATGTGTGTTTTAGTAAGTTAATTACTGTTTTTAGAGGAAAAATGCCATATCGTTGCATTGCATTTGGATGTGTCTGGTAGAAATTGAACTTTGCCTATCATATAGAAAACAAGCTTTTCTTGTTTTTAGGCGGGGTTCTTACACCGTAAAGTTGCTAGCTGTCTGACATGTTCGATAAATTATTCGAAAAACCGGTTCAACATTTCACTTCTCAATTTCTGGCCGCCCTTTACAAGCGTAGGTTGGCCGGAGAGTTTGCTGACAAAATTAAGACAGCTAATGAAGACAGCTAATGAGTATT